CTCCTTAAGTCCTCTCCAGGCAGCAGCATACACCCCCATTCTTCCACCTGCTCTCTGATGCTTGAAATTCTTTTAGCTGGGGGCTAACATTTCCATTGCACCAGCTAAAATACATTGCTTTAAAATATTTCATTATATTAAAAAGGGACACTCTCTTGAGAAAAGTAACCTACTGACTTCGCTTCCCTAAGATATAACTGTCATCTTAGTGTGTCTGGGTTGCTGTAACAAAATAGCGTAGATTGTGTGACTTATAAACAACAGTTTACTTCTCACTGTCTAGAGGCTGGATAGTCCAAGGTCAAGGTGCTGGCAGACTGGATGTTTGGTGAGAACCTGCTTCCTGGTTCGTAGACGACTGCCTTCTTTCTGGGTCCTCACATAGTGAGTGGAAGGAGGGAGGAAATATTCTGGGGTCTCTTTTATAAGGGCACCAACCCTATTCATGAGGGCTCTACTCTCATGACCTAGTCACCAACCCAAAGTCCCAACTATCACATGAGGGTTGTTTCAACATATACATTTTAGAGGGAGGCAAACATTCAGCCTGTAGCACTATCTTCAGAGCTTTTCTTAAGAGCAGATTTTGAGAGAGAGAGAGAGAGAAAGGTAGAGAGAGTACTGGTTGCCTGGGCTATCTCAGATAAACCACTGTTTGGCCAGAATTCTGTCCAGGGCCTGTGCCAGGGGAGACATTAAGAACCACAGAAAATCTTGTTCTCTGAGGTTGGTCACGAAGATTTTTAACAACCTTCTGAAGCGATGACTAAGAATCATAGAAGCATAGAGAAGACGACTGCCTCGATTTGCTTTTCTGGGCATATATCAGTTTGGAAAATTTTCACCCCACTATAGCCAGTGAGTATCTTGCTTCTCCTCTTGGGTGGAGGCCTGCCTCTACCACAGTATAGGGTGTAGTTGGACACTACCTCCCGAGTTCTCCCTGTCTTCCACCAGCAGCACAGCAGTAAGGGAAGGAAAGCTCGGGCTAAAAGACCAGGGATGTTTCTGGACCTGTGCAACCCTGGGGCCATGTCTACTGGTAGTTTCTGAGGGAAATGCACATGAGGTAAATAAGCCAAAATACTGAAAATGACTCAGTGTGAGTGCTTCAGCTATTTTTCAGTTATAAAAGCCAGGGCTAAGCAACTGCCATTACAATTATACCAGACTGCAGTTCCACGGATGTGGCTATGGGCTTTCAAGTTTGCAACTTAATTGCCTGGTTTGTGTTAGCTAAGAAAATGAGAAGACGGACACTTCTGCGGGGTTTTCAAGTAAGTGAAGGCTCTGGTGTAAATGTAGAACTTCACAATGGATGCTGGATACAACTAATGGCCACATGTACTATACACATGGAAGTATCACCCAACAACTGAATAGCTCCTGAAATGACTCTTCTAACTTCTATTATTCATTTCCTTCTCCCTCTACCCTCCCAGTATGATGCTATATACATTGCAGGGTTTTCACTCATCACATGAACCTTTGGCCTAGTGACTTATCCCTTGAGGCATGCTATAATCACTGAGAAATGTGCTCCGTGTCTTGTCTTATTGCTTAATTATGGCTCTATTTTAGGCTCCTAGAGTCATTTGGCTTGGAAAGACCTCTCTTATATGTGATCTCGGAACATGCATCCATGTCGAGTTACCCTCGAGCTCACACGAGTCTGTTCCATAGCCACCTTGTTCTGGCGTGGACAGTAATTATTACCCCTCGATTCGGCAGCTCCTCGAGTTATTGTCATGAGAGCTTACATTTATGCTCCTCTCCACGTAAGACACTATCAACCCTTTGTCAGAAAGGCATGTCTTTAAAGCTAATTTTTCTAATATTTGGGGATTTTTTTGTACCGATAGGTCCCAGTGGCCCCCTCTTTTAACTCAGTAGCATGCAAAAACCTCTTTTTCTAATGATCTTGTTGTGGTGGTGACTTTAACTCAGGATCTGTACATGTTATTTAACACAGGCTTTTTGTTGTCGTAGTTATGTGTCACTCCTCAATGCTAAAAGCAAACTGGAAGATATGGCAGGTCCTAGATACATTCATACATTGCAAAAGAACTGGATGGAATATTTAAAATTAGGAATGTTCTAAAAATTGTGGGCTTTTGAACCTTGAGAGCTTGTTTGGAGGTTCTAGCAGGGGAGCGCAGCTACTCGTATACCCTTGACCGAGGAACGGTCCTCCTCTAGCGGGGAAGGTCGTCCTCTTCGACAGAGCACGCAGCTTCGGGAGGGACGCACATGGAGCGGTGAGGGAGGAAGGGGACACCCGCCTAGCCAGCCAGATCAGCCGAATCAACCCTGGCGATCAATGGGGTGACAGATGTCGCAGCCAGATCGCCCTCACATCCTAAAAATTGTGGGCTTTTGGAGCACGCATCCCTGTTGTGTTCCAACCACTCATTTCGTCTCAAGACATGATGTTTTGTTGTCAGCCTTGGAGGGTCAGTCCTGGTCCTTCAAGTAGACCACACAAACTTAAGGACAAAAGGCACAGATCTTACACCTCTCACACAGCTCTGTCCATACATGCAGCTACATGCGGTTGTTTGATCAACTGCATGAAGAGATAATGTTGCATTTTCAAGACAGCTGTTTGGGATTAGGAGCTTGCAAAATAGCCCCACATTAAGGTAAAGGCAGACTGGAGAATAGTGGCCTTCTTCATTCCTCCAGAGAGCAGTTCCAGTCAGGCCTGGGGTAGATCTTTGTTGAGAGAGGGTGTAATTACCCTGGTCCAGAGTGGCCCCAAGTCTTGTCTGGCAGACTGAGTTATATCTATCAGGGCCTTTTAAAATGCTGACTTGGCTCCTTAGAAATACAAAACCCAAAACATCATTTATAAAGGTCGCCAGGAATGGCCTGGGTCAGAATAACTTGAGTCCATTTTGTGCCAGTGTCTTAAAAGAGGAAGTTGCTGAATACTTAGATAAAGCTCCTTGAGAATACTATGTTGCTAAATCCAAACAAAGAATGAGCGAGGTTTATAGCTGAGTTTTTACTGTATAATTCAAATGCCAATCCAGCAATATGTTCTAGAAATTCCAATCAGAGATTTCTATCATCTGACTTGGAAACCAGCTGTGCTCTCAGTAACTATAAAGATTTACCACCTGCAATTGCTGTAATCCAGTAGAATTATGCAGAGGTGAAAAGCGAGAAAAACTCTATGTTTTAAATGCAAGGAGAACTGTGCTTTAAGAAATGCTGCTTCTCTGAAGCCTATAAAAATTTAAAAGTAGTGGGGCATCAAGGTGTACGGACACTTAAATTCAGGAATTCAGGTTTACCCTTTCGAGTGTAATTTTTAAAGATAATGAGTGAAAAGTACTACCATCGGTTGACTATCTTTTAAGCAGAACAAGTGAAAGAACACCAAATAGTTAACTCTTAAATTGCGTTATCACATTAAGAGCCCTGATAACCTTATGCTTGAACTATTTGAGAAGTAGAAGCAAGAATTTAACCAGAGAGGGACAGCTCGACAAGGTGCTCCAATAAACTCAGGGCTATAATTTTGAACCAATAATTTCCTTCACAGAAAGTAACAATTATTTGTGGATTTGTGAATCCATATATCAAAAGTCTTTTGAATGTGTTTTATGATTTTAAAAGATATCAGGGCTATTTTACTAAAGCCAATGCATATGGTCCTCATACCAGTGAGCTCCCACTTCTTCATTTGCTCTTACTCCTCTCACACATGGGATACAGCTGCCTTGTACAAAACTGATGCAATATAACTTTGTCACGTATATCATCACCTGAGCACTCGGATACCACCCTGGGAAAGCAGAGCAAGGCAAGTTTTTCAAAATAGTGGTATCAGCAAACCTTTTATAGACATTTGAAAGCATTTCGCAAACACAAACACAATCCCTGAATGAGTTATAAAGCAAAATTTTCAAGTGGAGGGAAGCAGTGAACTTTATGGCCTGATGTATAGAAGACATACACCAAAAGTTTTTGAATGGCAACGTTACTAGCACTTGAAGGTTACAAGAAGCCAGTTGGCCAACAAGCCGTAAATGAAATCTCAGGCTCTCAAAGCCTCCTCTGGAAATCAAGATGATTAAATCAGATGACCTCTGAGGTCCCTTCCAATTCATTTGTTTCATGGTTCTCCTTTTTTCTGTATACCTTATAAATACTTCGACAGAGAATTAGATTGTGGCTACATGTATGGAGCCAATGTTACAGAAACTCATTTACTGATGAACTGTCCTTAACAGAGGCTTAAATAAAAGCAGATGATTGTTTCTACCACATGGAGATACTGGGTGCGTGACTGCCATGTAACACTTAAGTATACATACTAAACTGTTGGAAACATTAAAAAAATTTTTTTTAATGTTTATTCATTTTTGAGAGACAGTGTGAGTGGGGGAGGGGCAGGGAGCGAGAGGGAGACACAGAATCTGAAGCAAGCTGCAGGCTCTGAGCCGTCAGCACAGAGCCCGACGCGGGGCTCTAACTCATGGCCTGCGAGGTCATGACCTGAGCTGAAGTCGGATGCTTAACTGACTGAGCCACCCAGGTGCCCTTAAACGTTTTTAAGAGTAAACAAATGACCACATCATGGATGTATCTGACTCATTTATTCCTTAAAAAATAAGAGTGTACTCCACAATAGCTAAAACATGGAAAGAACCTAAGTGTCCATCAACAGATGAATGGATCAAGATGTGGTTTATCTATACCATGGAATACTACACGGCAATGAGAAACAATGAAATCTGGCCATGGGTAGCAACATGGATGGACCTTGAGGGTGTTATGCTGAGCGAAATAAGTCAGGCAGAGAAGGACAAATATCATATGTTTGCACGTATAGGAGGATTAGGAGGAACTTGGAGGAACAAGGGGGAGAAGAAGGGCGGAAATGGTGGGGGAAAGGGAGAGAGGCAAACCATGAGAGACTCNTGAATGCTGACAAAAACTGAGGACTGATGGATGTGGGGGGGAGGGGGGGATGGGCATGGAGGAGGACACTTGTGGGGATGAGCACTGAGTGTTATGTGGAAACTAATTTGACAATAAACTATTTGTAAAAAAAAAAAAAAAAAAGAGTGTATTGGACAATGATGCTTTCAGTTTTTATGAATGTCATTCATAAATAAAAACATAACTACCTATGTAAATGCTTCTGTTCAGAGAAGTCAGTGCTGGAAAGCTATAATTTCAACACAAATTACATAATATAAAAACACACAGCTCATCCACATTGCTAGAATACACTAAAACTCATTTAAAATTTAAAATTAGGATGGCCCCAACTTTTTTGGCATTATTATACATACAATATTACGTTTGTCCTTATTCTTTTACAATAGTTTTTTTTCAAGACTTGAGTAGTATTTGTACTTTTTGGAATTTCTGGTAAATAAATCATAATTTATTGTGAAATTCACAGGTTTTGTGACAAAACAATAGTATTTATACATTCACATATAGCACAATATGGTGGTCAAGTATTAGTGAAGTGTTAGTAATTAACAGACTATTAAAATACTAAGAAAATCACCATTTAAACGATTTAAATGCTTTATGTCAGGATAATTTATAACCAACATATACAACACCTATTTACAGACAACTTTAGAAAGAAAATATATCAATTTTGCTGATAAAATAGATTTTCTCTATTATTTTCAACTCACTATAGAAATGTTTTCATTGTCTAAATTTAATCAATATGCTGATTAAAGACAATATATTAACAGTAAAATTACATATTCTAATGGTGTATTTGTCTGTGTGTGCGTGTAGCAACTAATCAAAACTCAGGTTGTAAGTTAAAGCCATTTAAAAGGTGAACTGAAGAATGTTACTGAAGCTGTCTGGTTCCTTTTGTAAACTGCAGCTTCCAACTTGGGTTTTGCAGCTCGCCTAAGATCCAATAGACAATTCAGTGTACTACTTCTGTTAGTTTTTTCTCCTTCTGTCCATTTCACATGTTAATTTTTGTGTCTTTATGGACTACATACACCAGGACTCTCATCATCAACACCTCTCCTAAGCAACATCACAGGAGTCTGATTAGGTGTTGAGGATCACTTTCCATCTCACTCCTCCAGATTTCCCTGGTGCAACACACTCTCAGTCGTGTAGTGTTTCTTCAGTCTGTTCAGGTGGCTTGTTTCCACCTGGTAGTAAGAGCGCACTGTGGGGAACTGGCCCTGGATCAAGGTGAACTGTGTGCCTATCTATCAAATTATCACAATGGGGGTTTAGAATGTCAAACGTGTTCTACTAAAACTAACCATGGATTCAAAGTTAACAGTATTTTAAAGATGCACTTATCAGAGCTCATGGCATAACCCACAACAGAAGTTTACTTTACTCAACACCGCACTAGCTGGAAGATACAAACACTGGCACTTCACGTGGTCAGGGCAGCTGAAATGTCCTTTACAATAATTTCAACTTCTTGACTTCGGTCTGCATTCAGAATGGGAAAGCTACTGGAATGTTCACACTGTTCGTCTACCTTTTGACAAGCGCCTTGGTCTTGATGATTTCTGTTCTCTTTGGCAAGCCCTAATGTCACACTCTCCCCGGAAGGCTGAAATGGCTGCTGCAGATGAACCATCTGTTTCCCTGCTTCAGCTTCTTGTTTGTGCAGCAATCTCTCCACCTCCACCTCAAGTTCCAGAGTCTCCTCATCAGCTTGTACATCCAGTTGTTGCATCAACTCCTCCAACTTCTTGGCCTTGCGGAGCTCATTCTGCTGTATGATTGTACAGAGGTGTTCAGTGAGCTGCTCTTTAATCTCAGTCTTGCGCTGCAGATCCAGCTTTGCTGTCACATATTCTGCTTCAGCCCTGTCAAAGCGCTTCCTGGAAGGACAGGTACAGAGATTGGGACATTGGTTTTCCACTAAAGAAGATATTCAAAGGAGGTTCTAGAAACAAGAATTAGGCCCCAGAACTGGGGGGAAAATATATTGAAGATATTTATAGTAATACTTTGTGAACACCTGTTCTACATGTTAGACAAACCAGGCTGCGGCTGCTAAAACTTCCAGCACATCCACACTTGGACTGTAAGCATCTTCTTTTGCACTCACGTCCTCTTTCTGAAGCAGCGCTTGGATGAAAGCAGGCTGAGGGGTTAACTCAGTGGTGAGCTAGCTCCAGTGGGGGAGAACCCTGATTGGCAGTGTTTGTCAATTTCTGTAGTACAAACACTACCTTCACCACAGCCAATTTCAGGCTATCAATGTGGCACTGCTGAATGCAGAACTGGGAAGAAATACACAACATCTGCTCTGGTGAACCAGTGCTACCTGGCTCCAGTACACAACTGGTTAAAATGTATGAGAGGCAAAAAAGTAAGAGAAGCAAAAAGCAGAAAATCTGCATCTCTTGATTAATGGGTTAGAAAAGGAAGAAATATTCTGGTGGAGAAGGATATGGACAGTGAGTCCAAGATGAACATAATAAATACTACTAGGTGAAGCAAGAAGCAAGCATCAAGTAAGAGCAGAGAAACTTCAGGACAAGCTTAGGAAGGGTTTCTCAGTCTTGGCACTACTGACAATTTGGACCATATCAGTTTTTGTTGTGGGGAGTTGTCCTGGACATTGTAAGATGCAAAGCAGAATCACTGGCTTTCTCCCACGAGCTGCTAGTAGCACCCACTACTTGTGATAGCCAAGAATGTTTCCAGATGTTACCAAATGTCTCCTAAGGGGCAAAAGTGCCCCCAGTTGAGAATCTCTGGGTTAAGTTGTTCTCTTTCCATTTTGCAACCACAGACTACTGTTAGACTTCGATTAGGGTATTTTACCTATTTATATAAATATAAACTCCACAGATACACAACGCCCATCTTAGAAGTAAGGTAATTCTGGGATGTGTGGGTGGCTCAGCCAGTTAGTGGATGACCTGACTTTTGATTTCAGCTCAGGTCACAGACTCATGGGTTTTGAGTTTGAGCCCCACATTGGGCTCTGTGCTGACACTGCAGAGCCTGCTTGGGATTCTCTCTCCCTCCCTCTCTTTCTGGCCCTCCCCTGCTCACGCTCTCTCAAAATAAACATTAAAAAAAAAACAAAAAACCAAGAAGGTAATTCTATTGGGGAAGTCACCCTGTGATCTCTCTTCTTTTGCATTAGGTTAATACAAAAAGAAAAATTATTATATTGGTTCACGGTCTTTGGCCTTTTCCATACAAGTTGTTTGGTTTGGTTTGGGCTGGTCAGGAAAAGAGACTGGCCCACATTTATCAATGAATTATTCACTTTAAAAGCCACTAATAGTGGTGAAAGCCATGCTGCCTTACCTGTTATGACTGCCTACATCAACTACTTTGAGTTGCAATAAAACAAAAACTAGTATATCTCTTAACACAAGATTCTCTGTCTTGAAAAGAAATATAATGAATAAAATGAAAGGCTTTGATTTTAGAACACCTAGGGTTCAAAACCTGCCTTTTCCATTTTATTATATATGTACCTGTTTTGGTCAAGGTCCTTTTTGGATGTAAAGAACACTCAAACTAGCTCAGGTGAAAAGTGGGTTTTATTGTAGGATACAGGAGGCAATCTCCCAGGCATGTCATCAGAATCAAAAGCTATTCTCTTTAATGCTTTGAAACCACAGAGTCTCTCATTCTGGCTTTCCAATCATACTTACAGCCCAATATGGCCACCAGCTGTGGCTCCACATCGAATTCACTCCAATTTCTCAGTGTTCCACTTCCAGGGGCGGACCTGGGTTGGCTTACCTTGGCTCGTTATCAGTTAAAAAAATTATTTTTTTGCATTTATTTATTTTTGAGAGACAGAGTGAGACAGTGTGTGAGTGGGGGAGGGGCAAAGAGAAGAGACATAGAATCTGAAGCAGGCTCCAGGCTCTGAGCTGTCAACACAGAGCCCGACCCGGGGCTCGAACCCACAAACCATGAGATCATGACCTGAGCTGAAGTCGGACACTCAACTAACTGAGCCACCCAGGAGTCCCCAGTTTAAAGAGCTCTTAGTGTCCACCCATGCCATGAAACCCTATTTAGCCTATGAATTAAATGTTCTGGAGTTAGTAGCTCATCTTTGTTTTAATCAGGTGTGCCCCAAGGTCAGCCCTGTGGCTGAGTACAAAACGCAGACAGGTTCATAAGGAAGAGGCTGAAGAATATGTGTGCAATGTCTGAAAATTCCACTATAGTGACCCTTGGCACCATCTTCAACCAAGTTTCGGCTTATTTGTAAAATGGTGATGATACTAATACTGCATAAGAGTGTTAAGGATTAAACAGTATAAATAGGGCAAACGTCTAGCCCGGAGACTACTAGGCACTCAAGAAATAAACTTCTTCAGAGCAACAGAATCAAAAAGCATTGTTCATGTATCACTATAAACATGTACTGTACCTAAAATTAAAATTATACAAAGTTCAAGGTCTTGGTGTTTATATTTGAAAATTTTTATTTCCATCATGTTTATATTTCATTTTTTTTACTGTCATATAGTAAATATTAGAATGAGAAAACTAGCTGTTTTTCAATTACCCTCTACGTTAAAAGAATTATTCTAAAGGAGCTCTGCCAGACATGTGAATTTCTGATTTCTATACTTTGTAACATATCCTATATAAGAACGTTCTTGCATCAAGCTTAAGAGCTCTGACAGCATTCTCTACAGGTATATGAATGCCTTGTCCCCTACCCTGACTCAAACCTCCTTTCTGTGGCCTGTGGTCTCCCTCAGCCAGCCAAAGTCAGTTAGTAAAGATTTACTGACTGGACTCATGAATGCTGAATTGAAATTAAAATTTGCAAATAGGTCCCTAGGTTTACATTGATCTTTCACCCTGGATAAATCACTGAAGATTTTGCATTTTGTTTATTTATTTAAAGTTCTTCTGGCTAGAAACATGCATATATATTCTTGTACAGAATGATTTATGATTAAAATATTGATTAATTTTACAAACTGCACTATGAGCCTGAGGGTCAGGTGGAGAATACCAATCAGAGTATGATGACATGTTTTGGAAGAGAACAACAAACGCATTATATAGAAGACAGTACGACACACTGAACTGGAAATGTAATCACAGAATTGTTTTGTTATTTTAAAGGAACACTGAGTGATTTAATGAATGTTACTTAAAGGATTCTAGACATTGTCTCTTGGTTGGGTATTCTGAAATTTTTTAAGAATTCAATCATTAACCCTCAGCATTCCATTAGGTTCCACTGATCTACTTTCAGTTTTCAGTTCCTTTTCTGAGCAGTTCTAACTATTTATAATGATCAACATATAAAAGTTTTTATCTTTTCTTAGCAGTCTTCCAGAGAACAAAGAGAAAATTTACTTATATTTTAAAGGACAGACGAAAACTACCTTTTGCAATTACTGTATGTGGCCATTGGACCCTCTTATAAATCTGAGATACATTATGGGGCGTTGAGATAGCTTTTTCCTGTATCTTGAAACATTTTGCCATTTTATCACTCTGGGCATTATTTCCTCATTACTCATCAATTATTCCCATTTATACAGAAAAAAGATTAATAAGAAAACAGAGACTGATGGAATGGCCGAAAGAATGATGCCACAGTGAAATAAATCATCACTGTTATAGTGAAATAAATTACTGTTTAGTTGTCTTACTGTGTTGTCCAAAGTATTATATCACCTTTCCTTTAACTTTTTTTTTTTTTAATGTTTATTTATTTTTGAGAGAGAAAGAAACAGACCGTAAGCAGGGGAGGGACAGAGAGAGAGCAGACAGAGATAGAATCTGAAGCAGGCTCCAGGCTCCAAGCTGTCAGTACAAAGTCAGACGTGGGGCTTGAACCACAAACTGTGAGATCATGACCAGACCCGAAGTTGGATGCCTCTACATCACTTTTTTAAAAAGTATAAAAAAAGACTAGAAACACTATATTTGTAATCTGTTCTCAGCTTTCACTGAACACAATTCAGAATTAATATTTTTTCATTTTCTGCCCACAGTAGAAAATAGAGAAAGTTGACAGCTGAAGATGCAGCTATTAGACAAACCAAAAGACAAACGTTGTGGTAGGCTAAAAAATGACCACCCAGACTTATTCACTTCCTGATCCTTAGAACCTGTGAATATTACCTTACACAGCAAAAGATGTGATTAAGTTAAAAATTTTGAAAAGAGTTCATTCTGAATTATCCAGTGGAACCCTAAATACAGTCACATGTGTCATTTTAAAAAAAGAGGCAGGCTGGGGCACCTAGGTGGCTCAGTTGGTTTAAGTCTCCAACTTTGGCTCAGGTCATTATCTCATAGTTTATGGGTTTGAACTCTGTGTTGGGCTCTGTTCCGATAGCTCAGAGTTTAGAGCCTGCTTTTTATCCTAGGTAAATTTTCTCAAATTCAGGATCAATGAATGAAAAATATACTAAGGACAAAAAGAAAAGGTTACTCTCAGAGAGTTAATAACTTCAACAGAGCAAACTTGATCGCACAATATTTTACAAGTACCTGAACCATCTAATATTGTGAAAGGATATAACCACATTCTTTCAACTTTTTATGTTTGGGGCCAAAAATTACTTGAAACAAGGAGGATTGCTATGCTAATATTCCTATTAAAACTTTTAATAAAGTTGTTTCCCATAATCATTATTTTTCCTTCTGTAAATTAGACATAAAAGTTTAAAACATTTATGTACACATGTGCAGATGTGTATGCACGTGTATATATTACATGTTAAGGAGAGGGTCTATTAAACACAGATTGCAAACAGTGCTCGTAGGTTTTCCTGGTATACTAGAGGTCAAAGAGATGCTCTACGCACAGCAACTCTATTTTACAAGCTGGTCTATGCAGCATACAGCATCCTTGTAGTAACAGATGTGAACAGTAGCAATAACTCTCAATTTGGCTCCTTCAAACTACTGGTCTTCTTAGAGGGATCTACCCTAACACTGATCTACAGAAGCCAGTTTTAAAGCAAATTCTGGCCTATTCTGTATCCAAAAACCTTCTGAGGACAAAGCACTGTACCAGGTACTCTAAAACTACAATAGTATTAAAAAAAAAAAAAGTCAAGGAAATCTCCCACAGAAACGGACTTCCCTGGAGACTGGCTACCAGTAGAAATCTAAATCACAATACTGTATCACCAATCTCTAATCTCTCAATAACCACAGATGTAAATTTAGAAAACGTGTTAATTTTATGTATGAACAAGGTATAATGCTGGTCCTAGTCACAACTTTATTTATGACTTACCTCAATAGTTTAGGTTTTTAAAAATAGCCTCACACATAAAATATGGATATTCACATACAACTATGTCAATAACAGTACCATGAGAAACGGCCATCTTTAGTTTGTTAAGAAATGTAAAAATTTATGTCAAATTTTTTTTACTGGGTAAAATAAAATTTGATTACACACATTTTATATTATGGGATGTTTTCTTTTTTAACCAGTAAACCCATATTCTTTGTGGTTCTCTGAAGGATAAAATTATGACATTTCTTATATAATGTTCAACAAACAAACATATCCTTCTCCAGCCTCCTCTAGGACAGAATTAAAACAATCGGATGATTTTCTGTTGAGGTATTTAGGATAAACTGAATTATTCACATGAAGGGCTACAAAAGCATAAGAATGTTCTTCTGGTAAACTTAAGTTACAGACTAAAATATGCTAAAAATCTAGGCTGAGTTTGATCTCAAAAAATTAATAGAAATAGGAACCTCCAGTTACCAGCTACTGATGGCATTAATTTAAGCAGTTAATTAATAAAGGCAACCCGTTAAGTCTGATAGCATGTGGTCAAACAACAATTACAAAAATCACAAGGACACCACAAATCTCTTTCTTAATAAACAGTGAACTGAAACCCACAATCAAGCATTTCCACTTTATTAAACTGTTCTATAAACATTCTGCTGCTGTGGTTTACCCTGGACTAAAGAGGCATTTGGATGGATTTCTAGTGTTACAGAGAAAGATGCAAAACCGAGTCATTAACACAGCATTCCCTTGTGAGAAAGATGAACTGGGATGATTAAAGCAACACGGGAAGGACTGAAAACCCTGAAATTGGACTTAATTTTTTGCCCTTTTATCTGCTTGCAAAATTCATGTAATTCTTTACATGTGTTCGTGCATTTTAAAAATACTCCAAGATGATTTTTTTCTCTAAAAAAATGCCAAGGGTTGAAACTAAGGAAGCACATGATAGCAAACTATTATAGACAAAACACAAACGAGAAGAAAAAAAAAAGAGGAAAAACTTCAAGCTTTCAAGACAGAGTGGTATTTTTTTTAAGATACTCATAGACGTTTTAAAAAAATAAGCTGGATCTTCTTTCCTTGATGAATATTGAAATAAGAACTAGGTTGATCTCTAAGGACCATCTCAGATCATCAAATTTTCTTAATGGAAAGAGTACAGACTTGGTGTTAAAATATCAGAATTAAAACAGCAGAACCTGGGGGCAAGTCATTAAGACTCGTCCCAAGCATTACACAGATGATTGATGGTTTAGTAAGAAAGACTAAAATGTATGTAAATAATGCAAGAAATGTGCTAACAGAAATAAGAACAGGAGTAGGGCAGGGCTAAGGAAGACTTCAGTAAGAGGAGGCACTGGGTTTAGTACAAAACAGGAATAAACAGCACCAAATGGGACTGGTATGAGGCTTAAGTTATGACATACACGAAAACTCCTGGCCCTGACAGCAACAAATACTTAGGAAATCTCCCTCCTGATTCAGAGTTCTCTCAACTCACTGAGCATATGAATATTCAAGGCTGGCTTGATCAATCCGGTTTCTGAGGATCCCAATGTCTGCTGACACCATGTCATCTAAAGCCTGCAATTCCTTTTGGATCCGCTTTAGTTTCAGGGTCTCTGCTTGAGTTCTTTTAGATCTGGAAAAATGAACAGAAAAATAAAAACATTTTAAAATCATGTATCCATAGGCAAAAGAAGAAAGCAGCCTACTGTATATACTATATGATTATAGTGTATGGTTTTTAATAATCAGAAATAACACAGATTGAAATATAACAAACACTGGTAAAATTTTGGTATGTCTCTAAGACTGCATTTGTGCTGTTTTCCCTTATTATTCCAAGTTTTCTATTAGCATATACTATTTTCATACACAGAGGAAACAGCAAGATTTTTCAAAATACTAACAGTTCACTTATGGGTCTATATTCATTCCATGAGGATGAGAATAAGCACTAAAAGAACGTGATCTATATTCTCTTTACATAGAACATCTAACAAAGCTTTCCAAATTTCCAGCCTTAAACTCTTGCTAAGCCCATTTTCATTCGTCCAACACTTAGTGGACAGAAAGAATGGACGCCTGCATTAAACACCATTTCTTTCTATGTCTGTTTGGTTTGAACCTTCTTAGGGCTCATTTCCCCAAACTTTTTTTGCTTTGATCCCTATGTTTGAGGCAATACCACAGGTCCTCAAAATTCTTTTTCTCCCCTTTCTTAAAAGCACATCCAAGCACAGTCCCCTCACCACCCCCAAACACATTACTACACCGAAGGGCAGAATACACAAATACAAAGGCCTTTAATCGGATTTCACTCCCTTCAGAATTTCCCACCCATTCTCAGAGGAGAATAAAACTCCCAGAGAAAACCACTATTTTGCAACTCATATTCTCCTGATTTTTACTCCATTATGCACTTCCTCTTGTTTTCTGCCCGCAAAATTAACGTATGATTCTTTTACTTCAAGGACTTCACTGTTGCATTTATCACAAATCTAATCATGTTGTGTTTTCTCACATTTTGGCCTATTATCAATACTTTGTTTTAAACCAAAAGTGCATCAAGAACAAGTGCTGAGCCTAAAAATCGTGTAAAATACAGTGAACAGTCTCCCCAAACACTTCTAAACTGAAGACTACGGAAGTGATTTTCAAAAATCACTTTATACTTTGAATAATCATGTTTTTTTCTTGAAACGTAAGTTCAGTAAGTTGCACATTTCTTGTTTCATGCAAATCAAGAGAGACTAGCTGGAGGGGAAAAAAAAAGTTCAAATACATATGTCCTTTTGACAGATAAAATTCTCAATTACTCTTCTACGTACCTGCCTTTCTCCCTATCCTGTCCCTTCCCCTCCCCAACACACTGGGCAGTGTCAATACATAATTTTGTCAGGCTCTTCTGGAGATAAAAAAAGAAAATGCCAAGAATACATGCTTGCATTTAATTCTCACTATTCTCAGTCATTGCTTCGCTGACCTAAGCTTGGGTTCCTAAGGTGACAACACACTGGAAACTACAACCTAAAAGGACAGAAAGAGTGGGTGAGGGGTGGAAAGTGGCTCAAACAGGCACGTTGCTGCTGGAGGCTAGCATGATGCAGTGAAGGAAAAGGAACTGCCAACAAACTGACACCAGCAGCGGACAGAAAAATAGAACCGCACACAGTATGGCAGAGTGCTCACAACGGTGACCCTGAGTCATCAATGAAAAGTTAAATTATACTGTGTATCAGTGGGGGCAGGGTAAATTATTTAAGAAAAATGTCCACAGAAAACACAAATTAAAAGTTCTGGGAGTGAAAGTCACTTATGTGGAATAATCTTATTCTTCTACATGTCACATGATTAAGGCCTCCCACGTCAAAACTAAAACCTGCATTTGCTGTTGATACACTTATACTGATGGCTATTCACCACTCCCTTAGAACATGTAAATGGTTAAAAGTGAAAACACTGATGCTGATTCTGAAGTTTTACCTGCACCTGTATTCACAAATTTGCTATAGTCTACACTTACAAAGTCCTCCTTAATGAATTAACATTGGGATTTCTGTATCATTTATAAAGCAGAATTTGTTTAGTGAGCCTTAAAAGTCATGTTGTAGAGGGGCGTGTGGCTGGCTCCATCAGTAGAGCATATGACTCTTGATCTCCGGGTTGTGAGTTCAAGCACATTGTGCGGAGAACCTACTTTAAAAAAAATTTAAAAAGAATACTACAGAGAAAATGTCACCTTATCAGAACAGACAAGGGAAAATAAACATAAAATGTGACAGAACTTATTGCAGGTTACAAACAACCTCTCCTAGTTCAGGTGCCTCACCTTTCTGCAATAGCTTTAGCCAAAAGAGCTTTCTTACGTTTATTTTTCTCTTCCATTAGCCGTTGTTCTTGTTGGAGGACTTCCCAACGAGATTTTTCTTGCCTAGGGAGTAAAGAGTATAAAAATGAGTTTCTGAAACCCCATGCCACACCTTTCCAGTCTCAAGCCCCTATGTATAAAATGTAATCAACCAGATTATATATATTTTCCTTCAAAAGTCCTCTTAAAAGGAACCCATCTGTAGCCCATTATTTTGTTCTAATTGGAACAAAGATTATCATTTGCAGTCAAGAAGGCTTACATAAATTGGCCCTTTGAAATTCATTATATGTATATAATCTAGGAAGCCACAAACTGGAAGCCAGAGTACTGTGGCATTTCTTAGGAGTATAAAAAGAGTTGTGTAAGTTAATTATGTATTATATGCAAAATGGAAAACAAAATAAATTGGTATGTAGCTAATGTCATATCTTTTAGAGTTTTCTATAATGAAAGTCTCTACCATTTAACACCCTTAAGACAATAACCAAAGTTTATTTCACTCACTTTTTAAAAAATTTACTCCTTTCCATTCTGAAACATTTTTAAACAGAGTGAAACATGAGCTAAGACTTGAATGCTAGACTCTAATTTGTCCAATTCTGAAAGAAGTATATCAAAATTACCATAAATTTAAGAGCTTGATGTCAACTCAAAGTAATGACAAAGCTATTTATTACTACTGTCGTCATTTCTTATGGCCATTGTGTCAAAAATCTCTATTCCCAGACCTAGTAACCACTTCCAAATTTATCATTTTCTTTCCCTTCCTAGAGTCTCCACCTGGGTGCAGGCACTGGCCCTCTCTCATTTTGACTATTGCAGGCACCTTCTCACCAGATACCTTAGTTCCAGCCCAGCCAGCACCCTCCTCAAATGGGCCGCAATCCTGACACATGGGTTTTCTCTAACCATCGTTGTGATCAGGGCATCTCTCCTCCAGAGGCCTGGGTGATATGCTACTAATTGGGAACTCGCTAGGCAGGAATCCTCAGCTTCCACATCCTTCTTCATTTCCCTAATTCTCTGCCTTCACTTTTGCCTCTTCCAGAGAAGGGAGATGTCATCTCTGAGCATTCTCTAGAATACAGCTTTCCTTTCCCCTTCTTGTAACCTCCGAATTTCTCCTTTTCAATGACAGTTTCTGATATTACAGGTCTATGAAAATTTTCCCAAGTATCTAAAAAAAATTATTTTCCCAACAACATTCAATCTAAATTATCCAACTCAATTTAAACCCACCTTCCCTGCTATTTCAGGCCTTTGCTGGGGAACTACACTTAAAGACATTTAAATATATGCACTTGTTCAATGTTGTTCTCATAATTTACGTGGCTTTAGATCTCCTGTAAAAATGATTTCTTGGTTGTAAACCTCTGGTGGGCAGGAAATACTTTAAACTCATAGACAGAACCTGGATCAGAGAAATCATAAGACACATCAAAATAGAAAGACTCAGAAAATGGAAAACAGAAACAAATGCCAAACTGATAATAAATCAAGAGGAAACAAATATGAGTGGATATCAAAACAAAAGCTATAGGATAAAAATTCCGAGAATTCATAAGTCATACACAGAATGGCAATTTCCATAAAGCTGTTACTAAATTCTGGAAGTGGTTTCTAATATAAGCACATTAAATAAATAATAAAAAGAAATCTAATGATGTAGCTGAATTGTTTTATCAGTCCTCTCAATTTCCGACACAGTTTTCTTTGACCATCCCTTCACATTTCTTCATAAACACCCTTCTCCGGGTCAGTGGAGACGGAGTGAAGTTGAAGAACGGGTCTGGTCTAGGGGGAGGGGGAGCACTATGCATGTAAGAACTGCTTCTCATGAGGGTAAAGGGCAGACGCTTTGGATCCAGAAAGACTTGTATGTGAACCTCAACCTTGCCATTTATTAGCTATGTGTTTGCTTTGGGAATAAAGCATCTTTTCTGAGTCCATGAGACCTCACCTGTCAAGTGACAATAATGAACATGTATTGAAAGACTACATGGCATAAAACATAAAATACCCAGCATTGACTGGCTTACAACATATTTAGGTGGTAGCTATTCTTCAATCATTTACTCATTATGCTTCTAGGTTAGAATAGAAAAGAGAAAACGTTAAAACTGTATTTCTTCAAAGCCCTGTGGAGGAAAAAAAATAAAATGGAAAAAATCTCAGGGATATATAGACTTACTAACAATTCCATTTTCTTTTTTTCCATTTTGCAATCTGGCTTTGGAGGTAGAACTTCAGTGTTTTTGTGACTATCATGGGAATTCTCAAGTCCCGGTTCCGTTGGCTGACTTTCAGTGCCCTGTGGTTTTCCATCACCAACAGGAGAAGTGACTGTAAGAGGACTAGGAGGAACAGGGGAAGAAGAATGTGGGTTTGGAGCATTAAATCTTGGTTTTGGTGTAGAAAGCAGCTGCTCTGGAGGTACTGAGCTTGATCCATCTTGAAGCCCAAGTTTTTGGCTTTGCTCTTGAAGGGCTTTTTCTCGCTGAAGTTGTTGTCGACTTTTCTTCACAGGGAGACGCCGCTGTGGTTCAAATGTATCTATGTGAATAAGAGAATTCTTATTCATCTGTCTGTTGAGTTAAACCTCAGAATAAAAAAGAAGGTTTCTTTTTCAGCTTAAATTGATAATTGACTACACAATTAACTAATCTGACCAAACAAGGCAGACAAGTGAATTCTTTAACAGGTCTTAAATTTGACTTATGATTCTATCTGGTCTCCCAAAATAAAATGGTGGGTTGCGTTTACAAATGGGCTGCACCTTTCTTAAGTAAGTAACAGCAGATCTCAGGCCAATTTGATACATAGGTAGATGTTATACATCAAGTATAACCAAATGAAGTCTCTTATTTCTAAGAATGCTAGTTTACCCTCAAATGTTAACCTTCATCTTCCAGAGCAGTGCAAGGTTGTCTTCTCCAAAGTTAGCTAGCCATTAGTCAATATAGGCAAATTAATTTTAACAGCAGCCTGAACAAACCTATAGAGGAAGATAAAATTGGGAGAAAATTTTTTTAAAAAAAAGACATAATACCCCTATTATACTTTTTGGTTTGTCCAACCAGTGTTAACCTTGTAAGGTAGAGTCCTGGAGAATTTGACTCACAGTCTTATTATATTTAAGAAGATCTGTAAATGGAATTGTTTATAAAATGCCTGGGAAGTGAAATTGTGGTAAGTTCTTATAAATTAAATTAAATAGAGCTTTTAAAATTCTGCATATTGACCCATGAAGCAACACAAACCTATTATTTAAATCTCCCAAAGGAAAGTTAAAAGCTCTGGAGTCACAGTTCCGGCACAGCTTTCGTCCAGCTCAATAATCGTAGACAAGTCAATTAACTGTCCAATAACTCAGTTTCTTCAAATGTCAAATGGGTTGAATATTTACCTGCTCTACCTAATTCATGGAGTTGGTGTAAGAATTAAATGATATGGGTAAAGAAAATATTTTAAAACATAGATGTACCATCAAAAGTAAAATGTTATTGCTGTTGACTTGAGCCAGGAACACAAAGTAGCCTCCTCTATCTTGAGACAGGAACTTATTCTTGACTACTGAACTTTATGTACACCATAAGAAAATGCCACTGAGCTTACTTCCCAGTTACACTCACTAGCTGAAGTGTTAATAGTTCCTATGAAATCCAGTACTGCTGCTTCCATTCTATTTTGCATTTCATAGAACTTGCACTGGAGATTAAAAATGCTACAATAAAATAATAAACCAAACAATGAACAAGTCAGGCCTGAAACAATAAAAACAAAACAACAACAAAAAAACTCCTGAAACTAATATAGCAAGGTTGCAGAATCCAAGATTAATATACAAAAGTCAACTGCTGTCCTATGTACCAGCAATGAACAAATGGAGTTTAAAATTAAAAACATGATACTATTTGCATTAGCACTAAAAAAACAATAAGTAATACTTAGGAATGAATCTAAGAAAGTAAGTATAAGATCTACAAAGAAAACTACAAACTGTGATATGAAATTAAAAAATTAAATAAATGGAGAGATAATAAAAATATTCTTTTCCATATTCATGAAAAGAAGATCCAATATGGCCTTATTTGGGGAATACTGACACAATGATTCTCAAGCTGACTGGAGAGGCAAAAGACTCAGAATAGCTAACACAACATTAAAGCACAAAACTGGAGAACTGGTATTACTTGACTTCAAGACTTACTTACTATGAAGCTACAGTAATCAATACAGTGGGCATTAGCAAAAGACTAGATAAATAGAACAGTGGAACAGAATAGAGACCATAGGAATATCATAAAGCTTTGAAATAGTGTGGTATTGGTGCAGTAATAGACAAACTGACCAACGGAACAGAACAGAGAACCCAGATATAGGTTCGTACATGTATGAAGCACTGGTATGTGACTGAGAGAGCATGGCCTAGCAATAGCAAAAGGTGGAATCATTCAATAAATGGACTTGACAAAAACCCAGCTATATGGAAAAGATAAAATCAGATCCATACCTCACACCATATAAAAACAAACAAAACATTCTCCAAATGGATTAAGGATTTAAATGTCAAATCAATATTTTTAAACTCTTATTAGAAACACATTTCTTTATACAGTGTTTTGAAATCTGTTATATCTTATATAATAAAAATGATTCTTAAAAACTCTTAATTGAATATAAGGACTAATGTCTTATGGAAGGGTACTACCACCTCATGGTAGGGTACTAAATTAAGAGACAGAAAATGTGTACAAATCTGACCATATTAAAATTAAATACTTTGTTCACCAAAAGATTAAAGTTAAAAGACAAGTTACAAGCTGGGAGAAGATATTCATCGGAGAACATATTCATAATATACCTGGCAAAAAACTAGTATCAAGAATAAAGAACTCATTAATATTTTCTTTAGACATTGACAGCATTGTAGCTGCATTGTTTTTTTATTTCCAATTTTTATTATGAAATAAATCATACATCAATACATGTATTTGTTACTGACACACATCCAACCTGTATGGATTATAAAAAAATAGTAACATTTAAAGAAATAAAACATGACTCAGGGTGCCTGGGTGGCTCAGTGTTAAGTGTCCAACTTTGGTTCAGATCACGATCTCACAGTTTGTGCTTTAGAGCCCCATGTCAGGCTCTGTGCTGACAGCTCAGAGCCTGGAGCCTGCTTTGGATTCTGTGTCTACCTCTCTCTCTGCCCCTCCCCTGCTCATGCTCTGTCTCTGTCTCTCAATAATAAATAAATGTTAAAAAAATAAAATAAAATAAAACATAACTATAGTAGACATAACTGCTATTTCTATCCTCTCCTCTGGAACACCAAGATAATTGTATTTATTGCCCTCCAAATTGTATTGCTTGCTTTTATTAAATGAAATGTAAGTATGAGTGACACCTATTGTTTACTGATGGAAACATTTAATTGCCAATGCTCAATTCTTAACTTTTTTCTCCTCATGCCATGGTGAACTCCTATATGACAGCATGAAAACACAACGAGAAGTGACTATGTGGAAAAGAGTCACCTGCCAGTCTATGTCAGATATGAAGCTATAATAAAAAATAAATGTTATTATTTTAAATAATTGATATTTTAGGGCTATCTGTTAACTGTAGTGTAACTTGTCTCAACTTGATTTCATTATTACCAATACTTTTAAAGTTTCCTATGTATCTACCCCTTCCTGATTATATCTCCCCTTCTAGTACTGTGTATTTTGATTTCCTGTATTCCGCAAATATACCTGCTTTGTATGATTATGACCTTCTACAAGTGGTACCAGGTTGTATGTATGCTTCTGCAACTTGCTCTTTTCAAACATTATATTTCTGAAATTTATACATGTTCATGTATGTGGGTATTCCCACTAGCTATATAATGGCCTACTGAATGCTTGTATCACAATTTATTCATCCACTTTAATTAATGACCACTTGGTTTGTTCCCAGCTTTTCAGTATTATAAATAAGAATGCAAAGAACATTCTTAATTTTTCCCAATGTTCTAGAGAAACATGGGGTTTCTCTAGAGTACTGTCATCCTTATTTTTACTGGCAACCAACTCTATCTTCATGGATTAATTCCACTTTTGGAGAACAACTGGAAGAAGTCTTAAAAATGAAAAATCCAGCTCTTCTACTTTTACAAATGAGAAATCCAAGACAGAAAGATTTACAAGCAGAGCTAGGAGATCTATATGTCAATCACTATCTTTGGCTATGAGAGTACAAAGATGCTAAGATGTTTTCTCTTACTCATGGTGGTCATAGACTAGCGGTTGGGGTCTATGCTCTAACATCTCACCATGAAATGATAGGCCTTGAAGCTAAGGTCTTTCCAGCCCCTCTCCATCCTAAATTGCAAAGATATTTAGAAATGTACATAATGTATCTACTGTTACAATTTAGTCTATATTAAGTCTTTTTTCCCTTGGCAAACTCAGGTCTAGTCACACAAAATATCTGTGAAATCTTCCCAAGCTCTACCCAACCCCCAGCACAGCCAGGTTCCTACTAGCTCTGTTAACAAGCTCTTGTAAATTATCTATTATCACATTCTATTATAGCTTGTCTCCTCAGTAGGCTATCAGTTCTCTGAAGGCAAGGATGATGACTTGTTCATTTTAGTATGTATAATACAGAAGCTGATACCTCTAACTTTGGGTCAGACTAGAAACAGGTATCCTTTTTTTTTTTTTTTAATTTTTAATGTTTTATTTATTTCTAGGAGAGAGAGACAGCATGAGCAGGGGAGGGTCAGAGAGAGAGGGAGTCACAGACTGAAACAGGCTCCAGGCTCTGAGCTGGCAGTCAGCACAGAGCCCGAAGCGGGGCTCGAACCCACGAACCGCGAGATCATGACCCAAGCGAAAGTCAGACGCTTAACCGACTAAGCCACCCAGGCGCCCCTAGAAACAGGTATCCTTGTACTCTGTACATACAAACATGGGAATGGATGTTCAAAACAAGGAGCAAAAAAGACCCTGAGAATATGAAGCTTGATAGTCAATTACACACTGCAGTATAACTTTTATGACATAGTTTTTAACGACCTCTAGACCAGTCAAAACTTCCTCCATCTATATAATCTACCTTGGCCCTATATTTCTACTTTACTTCCTTTTCCACTTGTTAGCCATATTTTTACATCTATGCTAAAGATGCAGACTTCCCTGAACAACATCCAATTTGATCACAAACTCTAATAAAAAGCATGCCAGGGCTTACTGAATTTTCTCCCAAAGTATATAAATTATGGTGCTAAGAGGGATGCAAACTCACAGAAGTAGTGCGCACTACCAGACTCACCATGCAGAATTTCATGACATTACATTTCAACTACAATCATAGTTTATATCACCAAGCGTTTCTCACCAATCTTTGGTTAAGTACACTTAACTCCTTATTAAGAGAAAACAAAATAGTAACAAGTCCATCCAATAATTACTCTACAAAGCCAGCGGGAGAAGCACATTTTAGCTTACAATAGCCAATAGGTATAATTTCACATCTAACCTTTCAAAAAGTCTTAAGTTTTCTGACTCTCAACAGTTCGAAAGAATTGCAAAAGTCATCTGGCAACCAGAAGTGAAAGCAAGACTCCAGATGCATTATGAAAACCATCGTCTTTTTGCGCCTATTCAGATCCCTGTGCTCCCTCGTTCCCAACCACTGTCAACTTTTATACATTCATCACAATTGGAATATGGTGTGCCCCTCCCCCTTCTTGTACCCCAACCCCAACCCTCTAGCCATTGACTTAGGCAGCAATCTTCCCACAAGAGACGCCGAGGCTGTAGGCTCACTTCCTCTCCCAAGTCCCGTACCCTTCACAGGACAAACTCAAATCCCTGAAATGGATTCCTGAACTTTCTTTCTAAAAGATCCCAGTCCCGTGGACCCGCCCCTCACGCCGTGGCTCCCAATACTTCCACTTCTGGAATCCCACAATCCCCTCCTTCCATAAGAGCTCCTTCCCCAAACACCAACACTTACCCTCTTTCCCGCCCCCTTCCCCCTCGAAAGCTGCAGTCCCACCCCCCTCAAGAGACCCAAAGATTAAACCTCTGCAGGCACGTCCCGTTACCTTTAGTCTGCTTTAGTCGCCTCAGCTCCTCCTCAGAGAAGCCGGCCCAATCCCGAGCCATCCGCCTCGGCTGCCAGCGCCCCCAAAGCGCCCACACCTCAGAGCCCCGACTGCCAACGCGACGATCCAGTCACATCCGGGTTCTTCCCGGCCGCGGCCGGCCGACCAATCAGCGCGTCAAGCTCTGGATACAAGGCCCCCGTCGCTCGCTGCGGGGTCCTGTCCCTTGGAGCTGCCCCCAGCAGTGCCGTACAAACGGTCTGGAGACATCTCGGCCGCTCAGACATTCATGTCTTCTGACCTGAGTCCGCTTTCTCTCCCTGTCTCCTGTTCTCGTTGGTTAATCGCTTCAAGAGATAAGGGGGGAACTGGCGATGGGGATAAGGGTGGAGATAAACAGGCAGTTAGGAAGTGGCTACAAGTCGGTGGCGGGTCAGGGCCGACGCGCCAGCTTCTGGGGCCCTTTGGGAAGACACTGCGGCGGAGCTTTCTACCCGCAGGGTCTGGCCCGGTGGGATTTGGAGCTCGCTGGGGTCTTTTCAAAACTCCTGGTATCGTCCTGCGAATTGACTCAAGAGAATGTTCGGATTTAGACTTATAATTGTGAAGAAACATTTTAGAAGGCCGGGGTATAGCAATGGGGAGGGAACAGACACATTTAGCAGGATTTCTCTGCATAGCTGTCTCCCAAATAACTATTGAACGTGGGTTGTTTCCCTGATGTTTTATGAACGGTTCTCGAAGATCTGTAACGTTTCTAAGGGATGCCTAAATCTCTCCACTTAAAAGTGATCCGTTATCAGTTTTAAGTTCAGAGAAGACAAAGTAAAAACAACGTTGGTGCTGGGGCGTGGAGAAACACTAGGCTTTTCCCTCTTGAAGTCCTAATTTCATTGCTCTGGTTCTACCTTAAACACTTCTCTGGGCGTCTGTTTTCTCATTTTAAGCAAGATTTCAAACGTGAAGAAGGACGACTTAAGAGATCAATTATTCCATTATTTATGTGTCTCCTCACTAAAAATGCATTTTAAAAAAGCATTATTTTAGCATACATTTTAAAGTCCCGAGTGTGACTTAGTTTTAGTGTACCAGTGGTTTTAAACAAATGAAGTAGACAAAATAAAATACAATACCAAGGAAAGAGTTGAAGTCAGTATTTCAGGTTTAGGTAGGTAGTTAGAAAGTGAAGGATATTAGGAATTCCTCTCGTAACTTTTGAACTTTTAAACTTAAAAATGATTTCTGAAATTTAAGAATGCACAAACTCTTGGTTTTAAATGTGAACTCATTTTTCCTAACACTTAAAAATTAAAGTGCCATTCAAAAAGATTGGCGAAAAAGATCATCAAGTTTTGAGACATAGACTAAATGCTGGAAAGGTACAGATGTTCTAGCAGGAGGGGATCAGTAGCAATGGTAATTAATTCAGTTTCCCATTTACAAGCATCAGCCATGTAGTTTCATCTAATAAAAACGAAGAACGTTGTAGGCCCCTGTTAAATTTTATATATAAACTTTTTTTTTTTAAACTCAGGGTGAATTTGAAGAATTCTCAATAACCTTAACAGAGATGGAAATTACGGTAGTTCAAGAGGTTTGTGTAAGCACTGAATAAGAACCAAAATGTGAGTGAGATTATAGTAAAAAATCAGGTCTCTATAAAATTACAATTTCCAGTTTGCAAGGTTCTAACTCTTGTTTGTTGTTTCTGTTGACTTTCCCTCGTGGTGACCGTTTTTTTCAAATGTTATGTAATATTTTATTGGGAGCTTAGCGTCAACGCTTTTTGTTTTGTGAAAGTACTCTGTATCTTGGACTGAGAGACTAACTTTGCAGATAGATTTTGCTGGTGCTAGAACTTTGAGTTCCTCTAAGTCAAATTTAAAGTAATTTTTTCAACTTGTGGTATAAATTTGGATCTCTCCCCAGTGTATGATCCAGGGGTCAGGTATTAGTTTTTTGTAGGAGCCCTTAAAATATGTATGTATATATTCTGTATTGTAACTATATGTGTAGTTTAACAGCAGGCTTCCCACTGCTTTTATAGAGCAGTAGGCTGAGTTTTTTCTAATCCTTTGTTATCACACGGATCATCCTTTCCAGGCTCTGAATTTTATTTCAGTGAACTTGTCTTCAAATGGGTATAGGAATCCCAATACCTAGCACTTATACTCAAGTAGAGTCCCTATTGGGTTTGCTTTAGACATCTTTTTGCTTTCTTTTAAGTTCTAGGCTATATATATATTTTTTGAATAAAAACGTGTTACTCATCAGTTATATTTGTTTATGGCAAAAGGAAGCCGTCTGTGATAACCTAGACTATTATATTCCCTCCAATTGATTCTCTTAACAGAACAACTAGAGATGATCTTATAAAAAATGAAAATCTAATGTGTGTGCCTGGTTAACACTATAAAATGGCTTCTTGTTGCACTTTGAATAAAATACCAGTTCCTACATAAGCCTGCACGATATGACACCCATCTGCCTCTTTTCAGTGACCGTTAGGTTTATCCTTCCCTTTATTCCACAGTCTATATACTCCAGCCAAATTGACTTTCTTTAGAGGTTTGGACTATGCTAGGCTTTCCCCCAAATCCCTACTGTTCTACCCAGGGCCTTTCCAAAGGCTGTTCCATTTGGCCATAATAATCTTTCCCTTGTCTGGTTTTGACTTGGATGTCCACTTAGACATTCAATGACCTTCCTATTCCTATGGTCTTTATTACTTTAATAGCACTAATTACAACTTTTAAGTAATTTGCAATTGTTTTTTTACTCGTTTATTTTCTATTTTCCACTATTAGGTAACAGCTCCATAAGACGAGAGGATGCATCTTCTGTTCACCAAGGGTGTAACAGGATGTTTGATGCCTACTGAGACTTTAAATAAATGCTGAAAGACTAAACCTTCCCAAGTTAAATATTGAGATTAAACATCCCCATATTTCATGTATTCTGAGATTCCTTTCTAGTATGGATTTCTTGATGGTGAGTAACATTAACCCCGTTTATTACTTACTGCTTAGTTGCACCTATAGACTCATTGGTTAGTAAATAAAAAACTAAAAATAGATTGAGAAGAATCAATATGCCCTTTTATTTTTTAATAAAGCCTTAAAATAGTATTTCAACACTATTCTGCAGTTTTCAGTAAATGGATCTTGCACATCTTCTGTCAGATTTATCTCCAAGTAGTTAATAGCATGCTATTGTAAATAGCACTTTTAAATAGATATTCAATTTTGTGTGCATGTGTGTCTACTATATAGAAATAAAATTGAGTTATGTTTGTTGATCAGTCATGATAAACACACTTATTAGTTATAGCAGCTGTTTTTAAAGGTAGATTTCTTTGAATTTTCTACATGGATGATCATGTCTGCAAATCACAATTTTATTTCTTCCTTTCCAGTCTGTGTGCCACTTATTTTCTTGTTGTATTGCACTGGCCAAGACCCACCAATATATTGTTGAATGGAAGGAGTGAGATTGGATACGCTGTTTTGTTTCTGATCTTAGAGGAAAAGCATATAATTTTTAGCTATTAAATACTGTGTTACCTTTAGGTTTTTTGGTAGATGCCTTTTATCATGCTGATGAAATTCCTTTCTAGTCCTAGTTTCCTGAGACCTTTTATCAGATATCGATAATGGATTTTCTTACATGCTTTTTCTGGGTCTGTTGAAGTGATAATAGGATTTTTCTTTTTTAGATTGTTAATACGGTAAGTTGCATTGATTCTCCTGTGTTACACAGACCTGTTGCATCCTGAGATAAACTTTACTTGGATATAATATATTATGCTTTTTGTATATTCTTGAATTTGATTGGCTAAAATTTTGTTTAGAAGTTTTGCATATGTTCATGAAGGATACTAGTCTATAATTGTTTTGTGTGGTGTCTGCCTTCTTTAGGGATCAGATTGATGTTCTCACCAAATGAGAAATATTTCTTTTAAATTTTCTGGAAGACTTAAATAGCTTTGATATAATTCTACTTGGTAGAATTTACCAGTGAAGCCATCTGAAATATCATTTGTGGTAAACTTTTTAACCACAAATTCAATTTCTTTGATAAAGTGGATGTTCAGACTATTCTTGAGTGACTTTTCATAGTTTTTCTTTCAAGATACTTGTTTCATCTTTGTTGTTGACTGTATTGGCATAAAATTGTTCATAATATTTTCTTATTTTGCAGTAAAGGGTTCATTTAGAGGGTTTGTGATGCTCAAACCCTGCACGTTCCAAACAAAGGACTGGCCTTTGACTGGCTCCGTGGAGAAAACTTCTAAACCCTTGGAATATCCTGCGGGATAAAATTGTCTTTCTATACCCAGGGCCTTTGTGCTCATGTCACTTTTGCTAACAATGTGATTTATGGTGAATGCCTGTTTTTGTTAATCTGAATTCCTAGCCCATGCTTTATCAGTTTGATCTCTGGAGGGACTGGAGACTGGGTAGCTAAGGTCAGTCCTGTGGGTGTTCCATGCCTGCATGACTGATCCAAGAAGAACCCTAGACAATAAGGTTTAGACGAGAGTCCCTTGTTTAACGACTAGGTAGTGATATCACTTCTCTAATCCTAATATTGGTAATTTGTATCTTGTGTGTGTTTCTCTCTCTCTCTCTTTTTTTTTTTTTTTTATCACTGTCCTTAGAGGCTTATCAATTATGTTTTTTTTTTTAGTTTTTATTTATTTTTTTAAAACGTTTATCTATTTTTTTGAGAGAGAGAGACAGAGCATGAGTTGGGGAGGGACAGAGAGAGTAGGAGACACAGAATCTCAAGTAGGTTCCAGGCTCTGAGCAGCCAGCACAGAGCCGGATGCGGGGCTTGAACTCATGAACCATGAGATCATGACCTGAGCTGAAGTCAGACGCTTAACCAACTGAGCCACCCAGGTGCCCCAATTTTTTCTTTAATTTTAAAAAAATGTTTATTTTTGAGGGAGGGAGGGAGGGAGGATGAGCAGGGGAGGGGCAGAGAGAGAGGAAGACACAGAATCAAAGCAGGCTCCAGGCTCTGAGCTGTCAGCACAGAGCCTGACAAGGGGCTTGAACTCATGAACCTCGAGAGCCATAAGCCAAAGTCAGTGTTTAGCCAACTGAGCCAACCAGGTGCCCTACAATTCTATTTTTCTTAAACAGCCAGCTTTTGGTTTTGATTTTCTCTGTTTATTAGTTTTCTACTTTTTGATTACTTCTTTAATTGTTACTATTTTATTTTTTCTGCTTACTTTGGGTTTCATTTGCTCTTTTCCTAATGTAGAAACTGAGGTCATTGATTTAAAACCTTGCTTCTTTTCTAAATAAATATTCAGTGTTATAAATTTTCTCTTTTTTTAAATTTTTTAAATTTTTTAAAAAATTTCTGAGACAGAGAGAGACAGAGTGTGTGAACAGAGGAGGGCCAGAGAGAGAGGGAGACACAGAATCTGAAACCGGCTCCAGGCTCTGAGCCAGCTCTCAGCACAGAGCCCAACGCAGGGCTCGAACCCACAAACCACAAGATCATGACCTGAGCCAAACTCGGACACTTAAGCGACTGAGCCACCCAGGCGCCCCATAAATTTTCTCTTACATACTGCTTTAGCAGATTCCCATGTATTTGGTATGTTTTTATTTTCATTCAATTCAAATGTTTTTTAGTTTTTCTTTTGATTTCATCTTTAGTTACTTATTATTTAGTTTATTATTTGAAATTCTGTTGTTTTAACTATTTGGAGATTTTTAGAGACCTCTCTTATTTGTTCTTTTTTAAAAATTTAAATACAAATTAGTTAACATATAGTATAATAATGGTTTCAGGAGTAGATTTAGTGATTCATCTCACACACACACACACACACACACACACACACACACACACATATAAAACACCCAGTGCTCATACCAACAAGTGCCCTCCTTAATGCCCATCACCCATTTAACCCATTCCTCCCACCCAACACTCCTTCTAGCAACCCTCAGTTTGTTTTCTGTATTTAAGAGTCTCTTATAGTTTGTCTTCTTCTCTGTTTTTATCTTATTTTTCCTTCCCTTCCCTTATGTTCATCTGTTGTGTTTATTAAATTCCACATATGAGTGAAATCATATGATATTTATCTTTCTCTGACTTCATCCACTAGCATAATACATACTAGTTCCATCCACATTGTTGCAAATAGCAAGGTTTCATTCTTTTTGATCAGTGAGTATTATTCCGTTGTGTATATATATATTTATATATATACACACACACCACATTTTCTTTGTTTAGTAGTCAATGGACATTTGGGCTCTTTCCATATTTTAACTATTGTCAATAGTGCTGTTATAAACATTGGGTATACATGTGCCCCTTAGAATCAGCATTTTTGTATCCTTTAGATAAATACCTAGTAGTACAATTGCTGGGTTGTAGGATAGCTCTATTTTTAATTTTTTGAGGAACCTCCATACTCTTCTCTAGAGTGGCTGCACCACTTTGCATTCCCACCAGTAGTACAAAAGTGTTCCCCTTTTTTTATATCCTTGCCAACATCTGCTGTTTCCTGAGTTGTTAATTTTAGCTATTCTGACAGTTGTGAGGTGGTATCTCATTGTGGTTTTGATTTGTATTTCCTGATGATGAATGATATTGAGTATCTTTTTATGTGTCTGTTAGCCATCTGGATGTCTTTTTTGGAAAAGTGTCTGTTCATGTTTTTTGCACATTTCTTCACTGGATCATTTTTTGGGGGGGGTGTTGAGTTTGATAAGTTCATTAAAGGTTTTGATACTAACCATTTATCTGAAATGTCCTTTGCAAATATCTTCTCCCATTCTGTCAGTTGTTTTAGTTTTGTTGACTGTTTCCTTTGCTGTGCAGAATCGTTTTTCAATTCTATTGTGGTCAGAGAAGTAGTTTGTATAATTTGAATCCTTTTATATTTAATGAGATTTGTTTTATGGCCCAGAATGTAGCCTCTCTTGGGAAAAGTTTTGTGTGCATATGAAATGAACATGTATTTTACTATTGTTTGATGGAGTATTCTCTTAACACCAGTCAGGTCAATTTTGGTTGATTTTAATTTTTATGTCTCTCATATCATTATTGGTTATGTATTTATTCAGTTATTTATTAAGAGACAGTAGTTGAAATCTGCTACTACAATTGTGGATTTGTTCTTTGTTTTTGAACTTCTCTCCGTTTTGATATATGTGCCTTGAAGTTCTGCTATTAGGTGCATAAACATTTAAGATTCTATGTCTTGTTGACTATTTGACCCCTTAATCTTGTAAAATTTGCCCTTCTTTTGCCTGATGATGTTAGTCTAAAGTCTTAGTCTGATACTAATTTACCACTCTAGCATTCTTCGATTAATGTTAGCTTGGTTTATCTCTTTTTCCTTTTCTTGTTTTCTTTTTTTTGTACTTTTAACCTACTTGTACTTTTATTTTAGGCGGCGTATAGTTGGTTTTGCTTTTCTATGTAATCTAACAATCTCTGCCTTTTAATTCATATGTTGATAATTTAATTTTTTTAAGTGTTTTATTTATTTCTGAGAGAGAGACAGCGTGAGCAGGGGAGGGTCAGAGAGAGAAGGAGGCACAGAATCTGAAGCAGGCTCCAGGCTCTGAGCTGGCTGTCAGCGCAGAACCCAATGAGGGGCTCGAACCCACAAACTGCGAGATCATGACCTGAGCTGAAGTCAGATGCTTAACCAACTAAGCCACCCAGGTGCTCCTGTATGTTGATACATTTAATGTGATTATTATGTTTAGGTCTTAATACCTTTAAGCTAAACCTTAAACCAAAACATTCAAGTCTTTGTTCTCTCTTTGTCTAATATGTTGTTCCCTTTCCCTATCGTCTTTGTATTGATTTTTTTAAGATTCTATTTCCTGTGGTAACTTGCTAGCTATAATTCTTTGTTGTTTTAGTGGTCAGTTGGCATCATGGTATATATTTTTAATTCATCACAGTTGATATTAAGGTAATATAACACTTGACATATAGTATAAGAAATTGTGCAGTAAAACCTTGGTTTGCTAGCATAATTCGTTCCAGAACTATCCAAAGCACTTGTATATCAAGCAAATTTCAAGAACCATTGGCTCAGTTGTGATCATGTGACAATCAGCATCACATACTAGTCATATTGCAAGACTTCACTCGTTTATCAAGTTAAAATTTATTAGAAATGTTCGCTCATCTTGCAAAATACTCATAGAACAAGTTATTCGTAATCCAAGGTTTTCTTGTATATTTTTACTTCCCTCCTGGCCTTTATGTTATTGTTTTTATACATCTTGATTTTACATGTCACAAACCTCACAGTTTGTTGTTATTTTTGTTTAAACAATTATCTTTATCTTTTTTTTTTTTTGAGAGAGATCATGCATGCGCGTGCAAGCATACAGCAGGGGAGGGGCAAAGAGAGAGAGAGCTAGAGTGAGAGAGAGAGAGAGAGAAAGAAAATGAATCTTAAGCAGGCTCCATGCTTAGCTCAGAGCCTGACATGGGGCTTGAGCTTATAACCATGAGATCATGACCTGAGTTGAAACCAAAATTTGGACACTCAATTGACTGAGCCACCCATGCACCCCAGCAGTTACCTTTTTCAAAGATATCAATAAGTCTTATGTATTTATTCATGTAGTAACAATTTCTTACACTCTTTAGTCCATTGTGCAGATTATATCTATTTCTATATAGCTATCAGGTGTAATTTTCCTGCTATCTGAATGAAACATCATTATTTTGCTTTTGTCTTTGTATGATATTTTACTGAGTATAAAATCTAGTTTGACTTTTCTTCTTTTAATACTTTACAGATGCTACTCCATGTCTTCTAGGTTGTATTCTTTATGATGAGAAATCTATTATCATTATCTTTGTTTCTTCGTATGTAAATTATCTTTTTATTCTGTCTGCCTTTAAGATATATACTTTATCACTGTTTTTGAGCAATATGAGCATAATGTTCCATGGTGTACTTTTCTTCATATTTCTTGTGCCTGGGGTTATTTGAGGTTGTTGGATGTACAGAGTTATAGCTTTCATCAAATTTCAAAATTTTCTGGTCATTATTTCTTCAAGTATATTTTCTATCTTCCCTGCTCTCTTTGGGGGCTTCCATTACACATGTTAGCCACTTGATGTTTTCCTATACTTCTCTGATGCTTCTTTCATTTTTAATTTTTTTTTGTTGCTTCATTTTAAATAATTTCCATAGCTATGTCTTTAGATTCACTAATATTTTCTCCTCTAATGTCAAATTTTCACTAATCTCATCTGGTGTGTCTTTTCATCACAGACATTGTAGCTTTCATCTGTAGATGTTCATCATGGATCTTTTTTTATATATATTTAATGTCCATAACTTTTTGAATATGTGGAATATAATAATGATGTCATTACTAACTACAATTAATGTCACTGATGATTCAAACATCTGTGTTAGTTCTGGATCAGTTTCAGTTGATTAATTTTTCTCCGTTTGATTCATATTTTCCTGCTTTTGTGCATACCTGGTAATCTTTGATTTGATTCAAAGCATTGTGAATTTTACTTTGTTGTGAATTTTGCTTGCTATTTTGTTTTCCTATAAATGTAT